AACGGGTTATTGCTGGATATGTGGATACAAATCTGTGTGCACTGGTGGAAAATATACCGTAAACAAGCGCACACTCCTCAGCCGAAGAATATAAACTACTGTGAAAGATACCCTCAACGGTACATATAGGCACATACAATGGAGTTTATCATGTGTGTCCTGTATAGCTATGTTTCAAGGATACGAATGTATCGCATGCATATATCCTGTCATGCAAAGACTTTTGGAACACTTCCCCCACGCCACTCACTGAGCCACGCTGTGCTACTAGTGCGCGTGACCAACTATCTCCTTTTACAATACTCACGCACACGCACACTCGTACCCGCCAAACACACACCAGGCACCACACCCCACACACCCCCCACAACATGATCCTGTACTCAGCCACGACGTCTTGTAGAGCTGAGGGTTTGGGTATTAGGCTGTGGGGTTGTAGTTGAAGGAGAGGCGCTCTGGACCAGGCACCAGACACCTCTGTACCAAAACACAACACTACTTGAAATTCAGTTTTTGGGTTCATGAATTCGGGTTTATGAGTTAATACGTCGTGGCATTGATACACCACATACCTTAATTCCGTCGACAATTGCGCGTCACTCTTGAGCCATTGTGGGGCGGCCCCGAGCATGCGCGTGAACACCACAGCCACAAACCTCCGCACAATACGTACGAGCTCGTTCAGCTCAAAGTACTCGGCAACGTTGTAGAACATCACAGTTGTGTAGTACAATGCGCGTAGGGTGGTATCCGTGCGTGTACAGGATAAGTAGCACAGCTGAAGCCCGTTACCCTCGAACGCGAAGTTGGAGGTAAGGTCCGAGTGCACCGAATCGTCTGTGGAGGTAGGGAAGACAAGCGAGAGGATTTATCAGATACACTGTTTTTTGAGAGACGAGATACACGATTGACTATAATATCGAATACAGGAGAACGAACACCACGGGAATTTAATTGAACTATGTTATTTGGCTATTCATAATGATAGTGCCGTGGATAGAAGGGGATGAGGTGGAAGGTAGATAGAGAGTGGTAATTGTTAGTATGAGTGTATGTGTGCAGGTGTGGACATGGCTGTGTATGCTATGTGCGATATCTACCTCTGTATCAGCCCTCATATGCATACATTTGTATCCATCCCTTCGCAGTAGGCATTGAAACAATCTCGGCAAGGCATATTCAAGCATGAACTTAAGTGCAATATACATTAATATAAAATATATATGTATATATATATATATATATATATATAGTATATATATATATATATATATATATATATATATATATATATATATATATATATATATATACTATACGTATATAT